GGGGGGGTTGAAGTGCACTTTCCTAATGCAGCAGAGAGCATGAGCATTCATTCAGGAAATTAACTTTTGTGGAAATCACATTTGAAGGGAAAAGGGACCCCTCTTCACCACTCTGCAGTTCTCACAAGGAGAAGCCTATGTCAGTGAATGCGGTAGGGAAAGGTTAGAAGGGTTCCTGTGCAAGCATTTTCCAGTGAATATTTCTGTATCATTTTGACCACCAGGGGGCAGCTTGTCTCAGTAAATTCAGAGGATGGCGGCTCAAATAGACCACAGACACACTAGCATGTTAAAATTCTGACTTTTATGGGAATAGCTTTTGTGCTAGAGCCTTATTTTCAAGTAATTAGCAGCCTAAACATTAAATAAGGTAATATAATAGCTAAACCCCTGTGGTAAACTATTAATATCCTGAGGGAGCTCTGTAATCTCCTTCATATTTATTTAATTATAAATTGTAAAACATAAGAAAACAATGAAACACTTCAACTTTAAGTCTGTGTTTGCCTTTTATATACTTAAATTGCCCTTTCTGAACATGTTTTATGATTTACAAATTAGGCCAGGGTTTTACACAGAGCTCCACCTCTCAATCTGTTTCTGTGCTCTCCTATGAATGTGATCAGGAACAGTCTACAGGCGACATCCACATAATTGTCTAGCTTTTCCTTTACTGACCAAAACCCTTTTTAATCATGCATCACATCAGGTGGGATGATGAATGGACGTTTAAACAAAAGCCCTCTTTTCACAGAGAAGAACTGGCACATGCCAGACTCTGTCTTTGAAAGAGTTTCAGATCCCTGCATGAGTGCAATTAGGACTATTTTTTTTTTTTTAATGGTGCACCAGTTTTCCAGGACAGAGAGCCGAGTTTGGAATTCAGGCTTGCTGTGGAGAAGTATTTATCATGCGCTGTTACTCATAGACTTTACTTGCTTTGACAAGATTTTATTTTGTGGGCCGAGTTTAAACTCCCACTGCATAATCCCTGGTCCAAGAAAGGGAAAAAATGCAGAGGTTATTTTCACTTGGCAGTAGGTTTCTGGATTGAGACAGGGGTTTGTAGTCGGGGTGGTGGTCCTAATTGTTGGAGTTAACCCTTGATCGCTCTCCGACTTAGAATTAAGGTTCAGACTAGATCGCTGGATACTTGTTTACATCCCAATTGCTTTTAAAATCACTCGAAATCAAACAGATGTTTGACTTATGTGACTAGCAGTTGGTGCTTGCACATGTTAATTACCAACATCCCACAAGGTTTTTCTCAGTGGCACAAACAAAATGGTCTCTAAAAGGAAAAAAGGGCTACTGCACTTCTGTGGTCATGAAAGTATTTCTCCTTAGCATCCCAGCAGGCTGCTTTGACCACCCCGTCCCTGCTTTTCCTTGAAATCTGGAACATCCTCGGGCTCCATTTCTCATCTGAAGGCTTTTAACTGATGTGTACACCATTAACAATTCATTTCAAATCCTGTGGCCACCCGTAACTCTTTTTAACAGACTTCCTCCACACAAGTCCGGTGCGGTTGTCAGGCTCAGGTTCCCCGAGAGGAGGCGGTTGCGGTGGCGCAGACCCAAATGAATCGCTGCAAAGTTAACCCGTTAGTGAGATAAATCTGTCCCGAGCCTCTCGCCGACAAATTATCACAGAGAGAAAAGTAGTGGCAGGCTAGGCAGAGGAACTTATTTGTGCCACTATTCAGTACATCATTCCCTCCATCAAGTCCTCAGAGCTAGTGTGGCGGGTTTTTGCTGGGTCGTTACCAAAACCAGAAATGTTTCATTCTAAACAGTTTTATCTATTGCCTTACTGTAATCCAGCAGTATGTCATAATGTGGTTCACGTGAAGGATTTGACATCATTTATACAGAGACCTGTGGATTACAGTGAGAGTCACACATTTTGAAGGCAGGACTGAATGGAAAGCACACATTTTGAAGGGCAATTGCAAACATCATCCTGACAGACATCAATAGATGACATTGCTAACAAGCCAAGGTCTATCCTCCTGACAATAATGGAATGTTATGATTCAGAGTGACTCATTGCCTCACTCGTGTGGCGTATATTGTTCTTTATTTTCTATGGATGAGCTGAAAATCACAGTAGTGGCCCTGTAGTCAAATGGATGTATTTTGACCAAAAGGGACTGTGAGCAATGCATTGCGTCCGTAATCCTACCCAACAGTCAATCCGTCTCTTGAAAAAGCACATTGATTTGGTTTGGAATAATTACTCTAAATGACTGTGAGGTCAGTCTGAACAAAGCACTACCACAAATGTGGCTGAATTCATCTTTGATCTTTGTGTGTCCCTTTCGCCTTTTTTTTTTTGTAACGAATATATTTTACGTTTACGTTTTGAAAGATTTTCTCACCTGTGCAATTTGGTATATATACAGTATATTCATTATAAAAAAAACATATTTAATACAGACTTCAGCACATCGGTTGACACAGTGGTTTTACATTAAGGATAAAACAAAATCTAGCTGATGTTTGAATGAATCGGTTACTGAGTGTCAGTTCATTCTAATGGAAACCTGAAAGCCATGACAGGCTTAACAACCACAAAGTTTCATGTTTTTTAGCATTCTGGGTCTTTTTCTTCACACTTAAGATGGGAAGTGATTGTACTTTTTTAAATTTTATTTTAAAGATATGGTGATTTATTTGGTCTGTAAGCTGCAAGTAGAATCCATTGGGAACCAAAGTAACTTTTGATTGCTACATACATTTAATTTCTTTTGTATGTTTCCACTACTAAACTGTTGTTGTTGTCCCATGTATGTGCCTTGAAATTAACTTACAATGTAAAGTCCTTGAAACCTTTAAATGTTTTTGCACAAGTTGTAAATAGAGAAACCAAGCTTTTTTTGAAAATAAAGGAGCCATCAGAATTGACCGGTGATCTTGTCCATTATCGCCAAATCTCACTTTCTTATTTTCCAAGATGTGTGATCCATTTATTAACACATTGTCCAACACTGTTGGCTAGTGTGCCGATATTTTTGTTGATGAATGATGTTAGTTGCATTGGACAATTTAGTGTGGTCTGGAAGCACATGCATTTTTTTTTTTCTGGTATCTTTACTCAAAGGATGAGTTCTGAGCACTGAAACATAAATGAAAGGATTGCCAGCATAAAAGCTAAAACTGAAACGTAAGCATTTTACATTAGATATGTACAAAGGTTTTACAAATCTGCTTTATAATATTGACTCAGTAAAACTTGACATATGAAATATTGATATTATACGTTGACATATTACTAACAGTATGAAAGTTACTCTAACTTCACAATAACGTGTACCACAACCTAAAGGAGGATGTTTTTTAGAATTACACTAAAAGGCCTTTTACTTGCTAAAAAAGTATAAACTATCAATCAGATGATAATATGCATGTAGTAAATTGCGTACAATATTTTTTTTCTGCAAATTTAGAGGCCTTAAAAATGGTCAATATCAAATATGATTCAGTATATGCTTTATATGGTTAAATTCATTATAGTTTTTTTAACATTAAATATGTTCAGTACCTCCGCATTGGACATTTTTATTTAGCTTCCACAATAAAATGATCATAAACTCAATTAATTCTAAATTCCTCTAGTTTTCTGAAGCCATATTATAGCTGCATTTAAGAATAAGACCACAATCTACTTCCGTATACACAGATCTGCCGTAAAACTCAATGATAGTCTATTATATCACTATCTATAATAGTAAAATGCATGAAGCATATTTATAATATGACGAATTCATCAAGATTTGTACTTTTCTAAAACTGTATATTTAAAAAAGCTTTACATTGTAGATACTGTCAGTATGTTTATATTGTATGTTTCGGTGTATGTCGTCAAAAAAAATGTGGAAGTACCGACAGACACTAATGAGACCAGGCTGAGCAAGTGACTATTTGATAAGTGAGATTTTGACAAGTTTGCATGATGACAGCTGCTGTGCTTTAGACAGCTTGGACGGTAAAACCTTCTCAATAGTTGCATATTTAAAAAATCATCCTTTCTAAAACTGTATAACCAGATGGATATCTTTGTCCACTGAGTCACATTTTGTCAAGTTACAAAGAGTCCAACATAAAAAAGCATTTTGAGATCCCAGCATTATTATTATTATTATTTTTATTTTTGTTTAATGCAAGAATATATCTTATGTAAATGCCCTTCAGTTCAAGTTCAAGTTCAGTTTATTTATAGAGCACATTTAACAAAGTGCTGTACAAAACTATCACAAAAAAACTAAATATAAACACTTAAAGGGACAGAAAACCACAATAAAATAATGAAAAAAAGAGATGCCAGGGAGAACAGATACGTTTTTTGAAGAGACTTAAGAATTGTCAATGAAGGTACCAATCTAATCTCTAAAGACAGATTATTAGGCCTACCAGCTTCAGTTGTTGAGACAACACATACTATGCAATACTGCTTTATGTAGTTTTGCACATAGAAGTAACTCTCCCAAACATATTGCCAAAGATTTGTTTATAAACCTTTTAATTGGCTGGCAATACTTGTCTTGAAGTGTTTTGATAAGATTGCTTCTCATGTTTCCACCTCAAACTACACACATTTGCTCACAGATTATTTACAATGAAAAGCTCAACTTCAAGGTTATGGTCAATCTTTTGTCCAGGGAGCCAGGCTGTGTTTCTCTGTTTCACTATGTTTGTGAGAACTCTTCACAGCCTTTGGTCACAAAGGTGCGGACTGTCGTCCTGAACACCGAGGCCTCGTAAAATATGAATTCTACTGCTTTGATGAATTGTACCAAGTGGCCTTAAAGATGTTCCTCCTGAAAAGGGAAAAATGTGTCCCACGCCTATGCTTAGCTTCATTTTAAAGTGATTTTAAATGTTGCCTCAAAG